CTATATTGCCTAAAAATCTATTATCAGTCTGGCTATGCAAGTAAACAATATCACTTACACGAGAAATCAGAATCCCAGTGTATTACAGCATTATACTCTAGTAGAAGTGTGGCGATGCTTGCCAGAACCCATCCTCTTCTGGCTCAAATCCATTTAATCTTCACAAATCCCACCTCCAACACTGCCTCCATAACTGTAAAGGATCAGTTGAAGACATATAATAATAATAATAATAATACATTTCATTTATATAGCGCTTTTAAAGGTACGCTTTACATGAGTTAAAAAAAGATCAAAGACAAGGGAAAGAAAACTAACTGTTGCCTCACATACAAAAACACACATAAATCCAATTGGACCATGTAATGTGAGATTAATCAAACCATTCTTTATGGACTAAAGCAAGTTCAGATAAATAAAGAAACTGGCTGCCAACAGTGCATAAAAGGCAGGACGAAGCAGATCAAGATTCGGCACAGGGTTTAAATGAAACGGCACTGGCTCAGAGCAGCTGACCAATACAGATTCAACCTTTTTCTGATAAACAAGATGTTCTCTCTCTCTAACGGACACATTTAAAATCAACACCCCGGGGATTCAATTTTGTGTTAGTCCTCTAGAAAACAAGAATGGCAAATATTTACTCATATTGACAACTCAATAAACTTCACCAAACCATAGGCCTTAGGGTATCCTGTAACACGTTTGTTAAAGGACAATTTAGAACAACATTTAGAAATGCAAATACACTTCTCCTTAGCTAATGGACACACTGACTATAAAAACTCAACAATTCAACTGTCTCTCTACAATTTTAAGGCACCAAGACAAGAAATTCCAAATGATTAAAAATTAGGGTTAGGAAAATTCACTGGCGAATGCTAATTTTCCACATTAGTAGCATGCTTTGTCTATGATGTGATGTGCAATGATCATATCTGCTAACACTGTGCCCTCACACCAGGCAGGGACTACAGTGGCCAGTGATAATATGGCTATGGACAGGGTCTTACTATGACTGCCTCCACCTTCGACTAACTGTTGTTACAGTAAACTAATTTGCTCAACATGTGTGGTCAAACAGTGGGTTACAGAGACAGCAGTTTTTAAAAGGCACACCATGTTCACCTCTCTCTAGTTTTGAAACGCCCACATCACAAAGAACTCACTTTGGTTATTTGTTTTGTTCCACTTCTGCAGTAGGGTTGTAATATGCATAAGAGATTTTATCCTGAATAAAAACTAAACTACTGTATTTACAATAGTCACCCAAAGGTAATGAGAATACTGAAAACTCCTTTGCATTAAGTTTGCACTCTTAAGTGATGAGACAGAAAATAACAGCAGAAACTTTATTAATGTCTACATCAAAACGTAGCCTCCATCACATATGGAAATACCAATAACACTTTTAAATTGAACGCAGGCCAAACATCAGGGGAAAAAGTCTCATATCCAGTGACCTACATTACCAACACACCTTGCAATGAGGGTCAAACCTGCATGTTTAACCCCAGTTAAATAGGGTCAACATAAGACAACACACATTTGATGTTCTCATCTTGTGTAAAAGGCAGAAAACAAGGACACTGTGAGTCCTCAGGTCTGCTATATAGTAAATTGCAGCCAAGAAAGCCCTGTGTTGGGAAGCATTAGTTGATCACAAGCCTGTGGGTGTGAAATATGGCATATACAGTATGATATTCTACATATGCTACTCTATTACAAAGTCTCACAACACAGGATCCGTGCCACCCTTCAAATAACTGTGTTTTCCTTCCCTGTTTTTCACATTGGGCTGGTTAGAAATCCAAGCCAACAACTGAAACAATGACACACAGTATTCAGTCATCAATCATAGTGGTATTACAGTGATATTTATCTCATATTTCTTTCTTGGATGAGTTTTATTTTGAAATCAGTATTTTCATTTCTCAGAGGGATGCTGACACACTATTTTCACAGAAATCCTTAAGGCAAAGTGGCGAGGAATGCCAGAGAGTGGCATGCTCTCCTGCATTTCAAACATCTCATACAGAGCTCTTATGTGGCTTGGGAGAGATCCACATTACCTCCAGGTCTGGATACTAGCTGGGACATGGGATACACATAAAGGACTGGTTTGTTTCTTGTCACAGTGTAGAGGTGAACACTATGGCCACTTATTCCTGACAACTGTCACTTGTTCTTTCTCTCTCTTCTGACCAAATATCCATGTTATGTTAAATATATGAACTATTATCAAATGAAGGCCAGATTCCGGGAAAGCAGGAACTGAATCAAACGTATTACCTAGGCCTGATTCCCCTCCTCCACTCCACATTTTTCACTCTCACTCTAATCAGCCCATGGGCCATAAATGAGATTTATCACTGGCACCAATTGGAGAGGGGAGGAAAAAAGGGAGAGGGAGAACAGAGAGCAGGGGGCATGAGCGACGGTTGAGCCATGGATCACAGCTGTTTGGGCTCACTCCATGAGGGAGTGTCTCAAAAACTAATATCCCCCCAAAAAAAGTATGCCATTTCCTGGTTATTATAATCATTATCTGAATGTATTAAACAAAACCTCACCATTATATTTATGAAAATGAAAATGTCATAGGATGTATCTTAACACTTTTCAAACTTATCTAACTAACTTGCTTATCCAACTTTGTGAAACACCCCCATCCCTTTGTATCATCCTTACAGTTCCTGTAGGCTCAGAACACAGTATCAACAGATCGGGCGTGTTGTGACCTTCAGAGCCCCTGCAGGGCATGCAGCCATCAATTGTCCAACACAGTGATGAATTACAAAAGGGGGGAACTTTGCAGCACAAACATACAACTTAACTCTCATACACCAGCTCAATTCAGAGATTAACTTTACTGTTATTGCTCTTATATCCCTGGACAGGAGGTAGGCATTTTCACATATTCCTAAAATATGAAATGGCATACTAGTACGTCTTGCCAAAAGTAACCAATTCACAAGACAAAACAAAAAGAACATCATATGATGGAGCAATTTTCCTGCCAATAAGACTCTCTCTAAGAATATGCATCTAATAATAATTAAGTATTAGCACTAGGTTTTGGGCTGGTGAAACAATGAAAAGAGTAATGAGTTGTGGTTTTCAGCTTTGTTTCTGCTTGACAATCAATTTAAACTTCTCTGTTGCCATTAAAGTCTATATTGGCTGTAAGAGGAATTTGACAGCAAATGACACCAAGGCCATTGACCACACCACTGGGGTTACGGGCACTTGACTAATACTGTGACGGGAGCCAAGCTTGTTATTCACTTCACAATCACCAAATATTATCCATCAATAAGGGGGAAATTACCTAATTACAAAAATAGCCAGCCACCATGGCAACCTACTATGTCAAGGCTTGTAAGGGGCTTGACTAGCTTTAGCTGCAGGCAACAGCCACACTGGAAACTAAAGAGTGAAAATTGCAGGAAAGAAAAAGAACTGGAGGGGACAGCCTTGTGAGAGCTATTTTCATTTCCAGCTGGTCACTCAGTTTTCTGAATCATTACCAAATATCCCAGTAGCCTGCGTTTGGTTTCTGCCACATATTAAGCCAACATTTTGAGACCATGTGTTTATTTTTTATATTAAAACACAGAATCCAGGAAATTTAACAAAACACCAGTGACGTGTTTGTCCCTATAGTCACATCATGGTGGTACAGTGGCATAGAGCAATGCAGACTAAGTACAGCCACTTCTTTCTTAGCAAGCATTTCCTTCTTACCAACCACTGATGCATACGAAGCTCCAACTCTGTATAATTCAAAGAAAAAATGTGGGGATACATTCCTGTACTAGATACAATGCACTCAGTTATCCAACATTACACCAGTAACTGCGGAGATCACCAAAGTTTATTGTTATAAAAAACGTCTACAACTACAACTTTGATTCTAGTTAGCTTTTCCTGTGTTATTACTAATGTCCCACAAAGGATTGTGAGAGCTACAGTAATTTTCATCTAACTCAAGGTGCCCTGAGATTATAACGCTACGGTCCCTTTCCAGCAATTCCACTGGCCTTAGCGAATATTTCCTCGTGTGTGCATGTTTTATGCATCAATGTAAATATATATCATCGTGGGTTTTATGTGACGTTTTCACACAACTAGTACTATAGTGAGCCCGAATCTGGATCTCTGAGAGAAGGTACAGGGGCACACTAGTGTCCGCACAGCACAAAGGAAAGCAGCTAAAGCTCTACGTTACAGTGTTACTGCCACTACTGTTAGCTTACCGAACGACCAACGACAACATCTAACAAGCGTTAGCAACCAAGCTATCGCTGACTACAAAGCATTTACAATTTGTCCACTTCAATTTCATGGACAATAATCACGGATGGCAAAATGTAGCAATATCCCAAATTAGTTTACTAATAACAGACGTACTACTGTGCTAGCTAGGTTAGCATAGCTCATTGCGTTTTCTGACTGGGTATGTTCGTTTTGTACATTGTCTGCGAAGGTTAACGGAAAAAACATTACTATGTGGTTTGCTTAAGAAAATCTTACATCTTAGATACATCTTTTGACTCTGAGATGAGACTTCTAGTACATAAACTACCATGTTTCTCTTTTAAAACTAACATTGGCAGTGTATTTTGCGATGACCCACATTACTGGCTGGTTAGCTAATATGAAAGCAATAGCTTATTACTAAGTAACTAGCTAGCTTAGTTAGCTCCTGGCCTTTCTTAACGCTGGCGCAGTAAGTTCGAGATATCCATAATGCTACGGTTCTTTTTATTTGATTCAGCTACCCTAATTTCGTTTGGTCTCAGCTCATTCCCTTGGTCTCAGTTTAGCGATAACGTCTCCTTGTGATAACGTTTAACTCAAGACAGCCGCCGAAGAAGCGGCGTAGCCCGTCGTAAAAAACGTGCGCGCCTAGGAGAGGCTGTCCAGAACGCATCTTGTTTTAAGGCGACTGCCGATGTGTCGGTCGCCTTTTGACAATATCCTCGAATTACACTTACCGTTAATGTGTTACTTAGTCGCAATCCAAACCCCAACCACACGGGCTGATTTTGAACGAAGACTCGCGTCAAAGAAACAGAAATGAGGAATTTTATCCAACTTATTCTTCTTAGTTGTTTTCTCCACTTCCTGATTGAGAAGGTGCCATTTTGAATAGCGAAAAAATGTTTCCGCCGCTGTCGTCACGCGCACTACCGCTTGTTGATCGCGAGCAGAAAACAGCCAGGCCATAAATAGTTCATCAGAGTCATGTTTGGAACACCTGAGCCACTGTTTAGGTTCGGACGAATAAATACATATCATGGCCGATGAGACAAGACTTTAACCCATTACTGCTCATTTATTGGCCATTTTGCCAACGCACTAAATAGGAATAATAGCTATGTAATACAAATTCAAAGTAAGCTAAATCAGGTGCAATGTTCATAATGTTACTTATTTATTAATTTACATATTGTAAACCATCTGCCAGACTAAAATGTTAGTTCTACTATGAAAATTAGACTACAGTTTGAAGAACTTGAGTGTGGTTTAGTTCAGTTTACACTACATAGTATGGTTTACACTAGGCCTATATCATACCGCCTTGTGTAACTTTGTGTGACATAAAACTGTTGAAGGTTTTTTAAGTTAAACTGGATCATATCTACGAATTGAATCAGGTCTAAAAATAGATAAATAAATGAATGTTTCTGTCAGAAAATGTGGTGGCCATGATAATTATGAATCTCCAAAACAACCTCATATTCACAGGCAACTTTTCCTTAGATTTCTACAGTAAAACCCAACTACTCATGGAAAAAGGCATATCAGAACAAGAGCCATGAAAGATAAATTAAAAGCCTCAGATTAATTAGTATACAGTATCATCAGGTTTTGCAGTTTTATTTCATTTCAAAAATTTAGACCAAAATACTTAGCATACTTAATGCCACTGCAACTGTTAAGACAGTACTACTACTCCTACTTATAATAATAAGCAAGCCAGTGACTAAACAATGTTGACAAGTGCTCACTGGGTAAAATCAGAGATGACTTAGCAGAAAGAGCATCACAAAGTAACATAAAATAGCATATGGAAAAAAATAATACAAATGCATAGTAAAATCTGATGCTGACCATAAATGTCATTAACGTTTAAAACAGTTATTAAACAAAAAGAATAAGGAACAATTATAACCATTTGCATTGCATTTGACTTGCATTGCATGATTCTTTCTGCAACCTAATATGTTTTGTTACTGTTTCATACATTTAATTTTACTAAAATCACTTGGACTACTTCCCAGCAGACAGTTATTGTATAAAAGTGTATTTAATTTTGGATGTTAAATGGAGTACATGTGCATCTTCATCCTGCAGGTCGCTCATCCATCTGTCCATTGTCTGTTATTGAACGACCAAGCTGGAAGAACTCCAGTTGTTTCCAGCAAAGCTACTGTTTTCCTGGTATAACAGTCCCCCCTTTTCCCAACAAAGGAGGGTGGTAGCAAGCAAAGGGCGGAGTGTGTGTAGCGTGTGTGTGTGTGTTTGTGTTCAAAATTAAGGTAGTATTCAGGAGAGATGCCGGCAGGTTTTTGCTTTGTCTTCCCTGCCTGATATTGTTGTATTTGTATTGTTGTTTTTTGCTGTATTGTCTTGTGTCAACGAGGTAGCGGTTAATTATACAGGATGTAAAAGCATGATAAATGCATCATGGCATATTTCAACTACACCATTTTAAAGCATCTTAGCTCATCACTGACGACACTCATTCATTCATTCATTTGGGACTGACATTGCCCCTGATACTCAGTTTACAGCTTCACTGTAACAGAAGTGGTTGGACTCAATAACAGCAGACACTTGTGGTGTACCAATTCCTAAAACAATGTTTGGAAACAATTCTTGATATTTTAAACTTTTTTAATAGAAACATATGTTATAGCTCAAAATTACATGCAACTTTTTTTTCATGTTGGGAAGGTCTTTGCCCTTTAGCTTTGAATTTGGCGCCCCCTACTGTAATTGTTCTGCAAACAAATGGTTTCAACCTTAGCTGGAATTGAAGCAGTAGCCATTTGAACAGAATCATTGAAGAGTAAAAGTGGCAAGCAGTAATTCCAAGGGCTGAGCAAAAGCATGTAAACGAGAGACATTAGACTATGAGGATTTACCTCCACTGACCAATTTTGATCATGACTGGAGAAAGTGCTGCAGAAATATTTGCCACTTCCTGTTAGTGTCTTCAGTGTGAGCCATGTCACAACCAAAATCGTCTGCACTAACTGCGTACCTGACAGAAATGCAAGGATGTTACAGTTGGTCTTTCACATTTTATTATTATTTTTTGCCTGTGACAGTACAAGCTTTCTCATTTCAGAGGACACGTCAAAGATATTTCCTTTATATGAATCATCACTGTAAAAGAGGCAAAAGTGCTTGTTAGAAAACTCAAACTTAATGTCAGTTTCAGTAGCAGGAAATCAACCCAGCTACATCTGTTTGACTTTTTCGACCTACTGAAATGCAAAAATGTCTTTTGATGTGAGAACATTTTCAAATACTTTAGGTCAAGAAGTGTCCCCCATTGTGTGATGGAAGAAATTAAAGGGAGAGAGAAATGAAGGGAGCCTACAAAAACAACCAAGTGCCAGTGCATCTTCAGAGCTTAATCCCCCTTAAGATATTATAGCTTCGTCACATCCATTCAATGTACAACAATATGCAGAATTTTCTATTATTCTTACGCCATTTTGCTTCACACAGATAAAGGCAAACCAGCTGAAAATATTTGGAGAGCCATGGTGTGTTGGATAAGGGTTGTTTGATGTGTCTAATTTTAATGGTCTTGTTCACTGGACAGGATGTTGCTCAAAAGTGTTCTCAAAGTTAGAAACTGTAGTATTTGTGAGCATTATATACAGTGGATTAAACATAAAACACAGCATGGATTGCGCCATAGAACAGGAATCAGTATAACTTGAAAATTTGTGTTGCTGTATAAAGTGGAATGTCAGCCTATTCTCTAATGCGACTTATGTAAATCTCTGACAAAACCAAATTGCATAACTTTTCCCCCAAAAGCTTCTTTGTCTCCACTTCATTATTTCCCCAGTAAAGGCCATGTCTGCCTCAGGGCAGCTGTAATTTGATTAATCCACTGAAAGGGTAGCCAGACGGTAAGAGCCTGCTCTGCTTCTCTTCCATTTTATTAAAAACCATAGATTTGATTTGAATTTTATTTCATGATATTCATGCAATTTTTCTTAAAAGATTCATTTTATTTTCATCATTTTTCATGAATATATTGATGTCTTTGCATAATTTTAATATCAATATTTTTAGTGTTCCTATTGCTGGAACAGGTTATTATTGACTTAAAACTTATAACTGTGTTGTATTTTCAGCATTGCTGCAGGGAGGGGGGTTGAACAACTTTTGAAGAGATGGAGACTTTAGTGTTTTTATTTTCATTTTCTGCCCTGGGCATTCTTTATGCCATGAACAACATCCCTGAGTTTCAAGAGTAAGTCATTATTGATTTCTTATTGCTCAGTTTCCACATATAGTCCAATCTTTTAAATGTTTGTTTTGGGGGAAAAGCTGTAAATGACTGCTTTTGCTATACACCAATATTATATAACCACAATGCATATAATTATTATCCCTAATAAAATGTATTAAAATAAAATGAAACTGTTTCAATTATCATAGAATTAAAAGATTATAAATGTAATAGTGCAGGTGATCTGGGCTGACACAGTATAGGCCTACTCTGCCACCACTAGAGGACACTATAAGCTTAAAACTCATTTTTGCTGTCTGTATTTGACTGTCACTACCTCATAAATCCTTGACCATGTTGAGCACTGCTAATTCAATGAGTTCAATTTTCAGAGTGTATTTGCCAATTGTGAAAAGTCTTTAAATGATTAAACCTGTCATCTCTTGGAGGGTAAAAAGGAATGAATAGGGAACAAAAAGAACTCAAGATGAACAGAATTTTTGGAGATAATCTGATATGATGTTGAAGATAATTACTTTTCTAAGCTGTAACTGATCGTTTTCTTATTCACATATTTTTGTTTTGTCTTTTCATTGGGTTAGTGCTTTTATAGTATTGTCTACAGTTGATGCTTGCATAAAATGCATGTTCCATTCTGTCTTTTTTTTTTTGACCATAAGATATTTCTCATTTCTCAGATATTACTCCTCCTGTGTGAATATCTCTGCTGGATCTTTTTTTTTCTTTTTTGAATGTGTGGACACTGACAATCAATACAGACTGCACAGAAGAGTTTGATAAATAGCTCTTGACATACAATATGCCTTGTGCTCTTCCACTCTCCAAACAAACAGTATTGTGTGCATAAATCTTCCTGTAGTGTTGAATTGAAGAGGCAGCGAGGGAGCTTCCCTTTGCTCTCGCAGCATTTGTTTTCCTTCTGTAAGCACACGGTGTGAGTTTTCCGAGGATGTAATGTTGTTTACTGGGAGATACCTTGAGCACATTAATCTTTTCCAGTGCAAGGCAGTGGTACCTTTGACCAGTAAACATGGATGGCAGTGCTGAACTAACATGGCCTTAGCTTGCTGTTTCCCACACCTCTGCCTATGATTAATTAAACCTTTGTGAAGCTGTGCTTTTAAGCTGTGGTAGGCGTATACCACCACAGCAGTATGAGGGGTGAAATATTGCAGATCTGTTTTTAGAAGTAAACAATATAATTAATACCGTTCTGTAACTTTGTCTTTGAAAAAACTTGATACTCTGTTCAGACTAGCAAGCTAATTCTAGGATTTTTAAATTATCATTCATTGCAAAACAACCCGTTCGATGCATATAATACAATAAAAAAGACTCTTATTTTGAAAAATAAATTTTGCACTACAGAATCAGCATTTTCTTTCCAAATGTCATGAGCAAGTGACGCTTCAAACCAATGATAGTCATTGCTTCAAACTAAATAATATACTTCTAAAAGCTCTGGGATTACATATGACTACTTTTTTTTTTTTTAAGAAGCAGCCTAAGATGACAGTTAATCAGGAGGGTAAATTCAATGTGACACTACCATCTCACCAGGAATCTCCAGGCACATAAACTACCACACCAGCAGTGCCTTTGCTCTCACTGGACACTGTGCGTCTTT